TTTCTTTTTTTTCTTGATTCTTTACTAGAATTCTCTAATACTCTTTTGAAAACTCTTTCCTCTTGATAAATTTCATAAGTAATCCTTTCTTTGTCTAAATATGTTTGCAAAGATTTGGTAACTGCTAATTTAAAAATGTAAGGAGCAATTTTTTCACCATGTCCTTTCTTCAAAATTCTTCTAATGGTGCTATAATTCTTGGGTTCCATAGTAGATCTGATGTAAATGAGTTTCATATTAACTACTTTTATATAGAGATAATTCTATATATCACTTAAGATAACAAATGGGATATTATAAAACTGTTAATTATGATCACATTACAAATGACTAAATTTTGATTCCTGAAATCATTGGTAATACTAATGTTCACTTTGTCTGGTTTTGTTGCAGCATGCTCCATATAAATGTTTTAATTTAAAGTCAGGTGATCAAATTGGAGATCATAGATAGGTATCTATTTACAAATTCTTAAATCTGAGTTTTCGATTAATTCATCCTGAATGCAATTCTAAATATGAACATGATCATTTATAATTAATAAATATCGTGTAACTTGAAACTTTATGTTGTATTACAAAATTACGTAATAAAAAGCCCAAAAAAAGGATGTTCGAAATATAAAAAACAATGTCGTTTTTTCATATAAAACAAACGCCATATATCCATTAAAAGATTATCGAAAATATTTTTTAATATTAATATTAATATTGATCTTTTAATTGTTTCTTCTCGGCCCTGTTGACAAATTTTTTTTTCTGGAACTTGTACAACTGATCACTCATTTCACAAAAAAATTATATAAATATAATTTTAATTTTTTTTTATTTTGTTTTTATAACAAATAATATTTTGTTCGTCTTGCTTTATTTTAGTATGTTAATCTCGTGAAATTACTCTTTACAGTTCAAAGAATTTTCAATTCCTCGATATATATATATACATATATATTATTAAAATTTTTTTGTAAATAATTTTGTAAATTTTTTTTTTGGTTCTTTTTTTTCTTTCAAAAGCTAAATCAGCAACAAGAACAATTTTTATACAACAAATTCCCATCGCTACTACCGCAACAACAACATTAGAGACATTGTTATAAGAAAGAGAAACAAACAAAAAAATTAGAAGACTTTTTATAAATCTAATCTTTACAATATTTTTGGTAGATTGATTAGCTGTTATTAATTAATATTTTTTAACCATAAAATATTTAAAACTAATAATAATATAATAATCATAATAATAGTATTAGTAGTAGTGGCAGTAATAATAACAATAACAATAATAATAGTAATATAGATGAATACTGATTATTTTCTTCGTCCAATACCAACTGAAGCTTTTCATAAATTTATTATGCAAACATATATAGACAGTCAACAGATTATAATAAGTTATCATATTTCAGTATGGGAGTCATTATCAAGGACACAATTAATTCTCATGATATTATCGTTTACTTTATGGTTCATAATGATTTCTATGTCAACTTTGGGTTTTATTGTAGCGTATGTTATCAACAATCTATTTCCATTTATATATATATTAAATAAATATATCTTAAAATATAATTTTAATTTATTATAGGCGTACAAGATATCGTAAACTTGAAAAGTCAATATATTCGTCATTACCTGTTGATAAAGCACCTGGTGTTTCAATAATAAGGCCGCTTAAAGGCATAGATTGCAATTTATATGATAACTTATTATCAACGTTTCTACAAGATTATTCGAATTTCGAAATACTCTTTTCAGTAGCTACTGAAAATGATCCTTCCATAGAAGTTGTACGAAAATTAATGAATAACTTTCCACAAGTAAATGCAAAACTAATTATAGGTTGGTAAGATATTATTATCATTCAATAATATATATAGATGTAGATATACATATATATATATAATTATTATTTAATCTAATAGGGGAAGGAGATGTCGGAGTAAATCCAAAAATTAATAATATGATCCGTTCATATGAATCTGTTCAGCATGATATAATTTGGATCTTAGATTCGAATGTTTATGTTGACCCTGGTTGTCTTGGAAGATCTGTGGAGCAATTGTGTCAACCAAATGTTGGCCTTGTTCATCATTTACCATTTGCTGTACGGCCTGACACTTTTGGTTCTGAATTAGAAATGATGTTTATGGATACTGTTCATGCAAAAATGTATTTAGCTATTAATGCACTTGGTCCTGACAGTTGCATTGTTGGTAAGTCAAATCTATATCGTAAAAAGGATATAGAGAATGTTGGCGGTTTAGCTCATTTTGGTAGATATATGGCTGAGGATAATCTGCTCGCTAGAGAAATTTGGCGTAAAGGTTACAAACATGTGATGACCAGTGATTTGGCCTATCAACCACTTGGTTCTATGTCTTCTACCGATTATTTCCTGCGCAGATCACGTTGGATACGTATCAGAAAATACACCGTCACCAGTGCCACCATTGTAGAACCATTCACAGAATCAATTGTATGTGGTTTATGCTCATCCTACGGATTTAACCTTTTATGGAATATTCATCCGGTTAATTTTCTTGTGTTCCATTTGTTGATGTGGTTTATGATTGATTTGAAATTGTTTCAGTCTCTTAGAAGAAGGAAGCTTGAGAGTCTACGTGGTTTCATATTGGCATGGACGATACGTGAAGTGACAGCTTTACCACTCTACTTCTATTCTGTGATTGGCAATACGGTGGGTTGGCGTGATGGTACTTATATTTTAATGAGGGATTCGACAGTCATGAAATCGGTGGCATCAACAACAAATCATCATATTCTTCAAAATGCTTCCCCTAACCTTTCACTTTCATCTTTTGCTCGTAACTTTACAAATTATAATTAGTATAGATAATAAATAATCCGATTAATTAATCATCATCTTAAAAAAGACTTATACATTCATGCATAAAATTTTACCGATATAGAAAACCTTCAACGCATTTTTCTGTAATTTAGCAATTTAAAAAATTTTTTTTGTAAATCTTTGGGGTTTTTTTTAATTAGCAAGTATATAAAAATTTTTTTGTTGCATTTTTTATTATATTTAATTTAATTTAATTTAATTTAAATAAAACAAAAAATAATTTTTTTTGTTAAAACAATCTCATTCTTCTTTTTCTTCTACTTTTATAAAAATACATGGATGAGATACATGAATATAATAATACAATTAATTAGTTCAAATCATCACTACTATTGTTTTTAGGATTTGATGATTTGTTAAATAATTTCTCATTGTTAATTTTATAAAAAAATTTCTTAATAGAAATTCAAATTATTTATTATTATTATATTATTATTAGGAGAAAAAACTTTCAATATCATGATCATCTATCAATACATACAATATTTATTTATAATATAGATAAATTATCTTGGTGTTCCGAGAGGAAATTTTTAATGAACAATATTTATTGTTCTCGTAAGTTAAAAGAATTTATTTCTCTAATTAATTTAAAATAAAATTATTAATAATAAAAATTATCATCGTCATCATCTTAGATGGACCAAAAACCTATTATTATCATTTTCAAGAATCCCACTGGTCTATCTTATATAGTGTCGTAATTAATAGGTAATCATTTCAACAATAATAGTCTTATTATTATTTACATATTTTTCTATTAATTATTGTGATTATTTTTGGTTTTTTTTTAATTTTAGATCAAAAACAAAAAATCATCTAAATAACATCTTGATGATAATGCTATTCACTAATGTGTGTAAGAAACAAGAAATATAATAATAGTAGTAGTAGTAAAATTGGTTAAAGGTTTGGGGGACAGGAAAAAAAGTACATTATATATACCTATGGTATATAGATGATTATATTTTGAAAGTTATATATTATATTGTATTGTACTAGATATTATATAAAAACGATAATAAGTAAAATAATATTTATAAGTAAAAGGATTCCGTCTTTAATCTCGTTTTGTTAATAAACTATTATCTGAATCCCAATAAATTATCATTTGTATAGTTAATATCAAATTGAAAATACTAGCCAAAGTGAATCCAGTCAAAATTATAACATCGTCAACTTCTGTCATTGTGGTGAAAACTCTTGCCAGAGCACCTAAGGTGTAACCAAATGTTGCCAAAGCAGACAACTGCCCGGTACTTTTATTTCTATGATTTTTGATAATTTGAGGAATTTTTGAGGCCAAGGAGATGGGAATGGTGAGTGATTGTAGAAACGCTAGAATGGTGTCGTTGATTATCCATGATGAACCAAGTGAATAAGATAATACCATAATGATTGTACCAGTTATGAAAAGTTCCTTTATGCGACCAGTATAATTAAGAATCAAGAGTAATATGAAAATATCTTGTATTGTTAATGACAAATTTTCACCATATGTACTAAACGGATTCCCTTGTCTATTATTATAGGCTAATCCTATTGCATATCCAATAGTTTCTAACGCAATACTTTCAAAACTTAGTCCTTTAACAGATCCTGCAGTTGTAATTTTAATGATTTGTGGTATTTTTATCAACGATCCAAACAAAACGATACCAATTCCTAGTCCCTTGGATATCAACAATTTAATACATTCTAAATCTCTAATATTTATATTTTCTACCAACGATGTATAACATTTATCACCGATCAAGTGTATTGCCGGTTCTTTGATAATAGATGGAAGATGCATAACAATGAGCAATGTGTATGTGTGTGAAAAAACCAAAATTTTTTTTGTAATGAGTGTGACACGAATAAGGGGTCTGAAACTTCCAAGATTTTTCAGGTGCTAAAATTTTTTTCAAATTTAAGAATTTTCTTTATTTTATTCTTGTGTTTTTACTTTAAAGAAATTTACTAAAAGCATTACTAAAATCATAACCAAATAAATCAGTACCTTCTAAACCAACCATCATTAATAAATGCAAATGTGTCATTTTCCATTGCGTTACATAAATCTGTTTTGATAATATTCTGTTTGCTAAAATCTCTTTCACAATCTACATTAGAAATAGAATTGAGTACATTATTCCATAAGTTTTAAGATATAATAAGACTTGGAAGTTTGAAAATTGGAATATTTTCTTTGCCATCCAGTAAATCATTTTCATTATATTAATTACCATCATTAATGGCCTTTATGGAAGAATCTTGCAAGGTTATTCTTGTCTTTTCTAGAAACAAAGCATCTTTATGTTGGTTTGAAGTGCATGAGTTGCTAGAGCAGTAGATTTTGAAATATTCTTTGATTCTAAATATTAATATTATAACATAAGTAAATTAATAATTGCAAAATGCAAAATTAATTATATTTATTTATCACATTTTCCTGCAAATTGATTTTTTTTTCTATGTGGCTTTACAAATTGTGCATAGCATTCTCTTCATCACTGCATCATATTTTAACCATTTTATATGTTTAACTATTCATGCTGAAAACTTCCTTCTGATTTTTTTTTTTTTATTTGACATTTTAAACATGGTTTACACTTAATCCACTATTTTATTTAATTTTTTTGAAGTATCATCATCATCTGAACCTTGAATTGTCAAATCGTCTGAACATTTTATATCTGATTAATCAATATTTGTTTCATCTATAAATAAATGCTTCATCTCAATTTTCAGTAAATCTATTTATTTATAATTTATTTTTCAAGGGAAACAAATACACATAAATTTGTATATTTTAAATTTAATAATTTAATAGCAGTCTTTTTGAAATAAGATTTAAATTGAGTCAATACTTTTCTTCTAAAAATTCAAAAAAGATACAAATTATGATTCTGGCTGTTCTTTTCTAAAATATTGGAGTATTTTATGCGAATGGAAAATCTGTACAAAAAGGAAAAATATCCGGATTTTTAAAGTAATATTTCCAGCCCTGGTGCAGAGTATGGAGGGTGTGCATTTATCCCTAAGTCCCGAAGACATAGTGTACATTTATGAAGGTCTGACTGTATTTCATAAAAAGAACCTTTCTGTGTATAAAATAAAATACATATTAAAAAAATAATGTTTGTGTTGAATCTTTAATGAACCTACAAAGCCAAGTTTGGATGCCAATGCAAGAAGTTTAGTTGAGGATTGAAGAGTAAGTTATAAAAAGTTGCAATTTTTCAAACAATAATGCTTCTTTCCTCTCCTCTAACTTCAAAAAATCCAAAAAAAAGAATTTTATTACAGTCATGGATTTTCATCAGACAAAATTAATTAGTTAATATTTATTAAAATACTTCAATGATTAATATAATGATGATGATTATGAAAGGTTTTCTATATGTGATTATGAGAATTAAATAATAATAAATCAATAAATATTGATTTTATCATGCTGATAATTCTTCAATCTTGATATTTAACCCATCATGAGCAGGCCTGACATACAAATCTGGTTCTTTCTCTTGCAATTCTTTCATTTCTCTGACTAAATCATAATATTCTATAGAATGAGAAAGACCAACAATAAATGCTTTTTTTGGTATTGGGTTAAGTTTTCTTACCACATCTACAGCTTCATATATTGAAAAATGTGATTTGTGCGGTTTGCCTATTATTCCTCAAAGCAAAATAAAATATTTCTCTTGTTAATAACACAAATATAATATAGATAAAATAATAAATATAATATACACACGATTTAGTGAGTCAAGAACTATCAGTTCACTTCCATGTAATTTTATAAAAGTATCTTCTGGAATAAAATTACAATCTGAAATATATGATATGTTCTCAAATCTAAAACCTAAACTAAAATATGGTTTTTGTGTATCAAAATAAGTACCATGATGAACTATTATTTATAAAGAAAGATATTAATTAGTAGGAATTATAGTATAAATAAAATTTTAATCAACTGATTATTATTAAATACCTTGAAGTGGTGTAAATTCCAACCCTTCAACTGTAAAATTTGTATGTGAATCAATTATGTTCCATTGAAAAGATGGTAAATCACCCCCACCTAATTAATTAGCATTATCATACACATTACTAGTAAAGCCAATGTACAAAACTATTATAATTATAAATTTTTTTACCAGATGATTTTTTTTTATCAACAAGATATGGGAAAGAGCTTTTGATGTTTTCAAGTGTATTTTCTGTTAGATAGATAGGAATATATTCTTGTATTGCTTTGTTTAGTGTCCAAGAACGTAAATCATCCAATCCATTAATAGCATCTGCATGTGGATGTGTTAATACTACTGCATCTATTCTACGTAGTTTGAAAATTGGCCAAAATTTTATTGCTGACTCTGAGAAAAGGGAAAGAGAAAAACAAATTTATAAATAAAAAGATGGTAATTAATTAATTAATATTAAATCATAACTTTTTTTTGTTAAATTTTACCATAAAATGTTTTGCCACAATCTATTATAATATTTCTATAAATAATGTACTGATATGTGAATATAATATATATATATATATATATATAATATCTAAAAAAAAAATAATACCTAATTCCTCCGTCCCCATGATGAAATCTAATCAATAAACATGTGTTTTTTCTAATGTTAATCGCACCTTCTGGCTTAAGAGTTGATAAACAAGTTGTACATTTAATTTCTGGTTCCGTCAAACAAACAATATCTGGAGCAGTCGAGGAAGATCCCGTACCCAAAAATATTATTTCTTTAACTTTTCCTGAAGACATGCTACTTTATAATAACAATTATATCTTTTTTAGGGCCCCAAAAGCTATACACAGTCATCCCTCGATAAGCCGAACCACTATAAACCGATTTTCGCTTTATAACGATGCAAAATTGGTTAACAATAAATTAATATCTTAATGTAATTTAATAAAACCGAACTTATACTCGAAAGTTAAAAAATGTGAAATATTATGTGATCCACATGTTATTCAAAAAGGAAAGGTAGTCGATTCATGTAAAAAAAATTTGTCTAATTTTTTTTCATAGATTTTTTTAAATTTGAAAGCTCAGAACTGCAATGGTTACACAAGGACGATGATTTTATAAATTCTTTGAGCAATGATTATCAACGAACCCCACTCATAAATGATCACAAAAAGAAAGAACAAGGTGAAAAAATTGCTCCTTATATTTTCAAATAAATGATGCTCAGATACTTGAAGCTTATCTAAGAAAAGAAAGGATTGCCTATGAGATTTACCAAGAAGAAAGAAAAATAATAAGTGTTGGAAAAAGAAATGTATTATTACCTAATAAAAAGCAGAAATCTTTAAAAGGAAAATAAGCACCATTTTCTTTGATAATTGAATGAATTTCCTCGATTACTTTTTATTTTCAATCAAGATCTTTTCTTTGACTTCAATTTGAGCAGTTAATTGACCATTCTGTTGATCTTTTTTTTTTCTTCTAAACTTTTTATCTTATCTAATAAATCCTGTTTTTGCTTTTTTTTCACTCTTCTGATTTTTCTGAAACTTGGCTACTTCTCTTTCAATTAAAGCTCCAAACAAGCTGAGCCGAAGCTCAAAATTTCAAGTTCAAGTCAAGCTCAAGCCAAGAAATAATAGGCTCGAGTCTGACACCACATAAAAATTTTTTTAAGTAACAAATGATTAATTTTATTTATGCATATTACCTAAAAAAAACAATTTAAAAGCCTATTTTCTTGAAATCAGCTTGAACTTGAAAATTTAAGTTTTAACTCAAGGTTGCTCAACTTAAGGAATAAAGCGAATAAAACAAATAATTCAAACAATTTGAATAAATGAATAAAACAAATGATTCAACAATTTGAATAATGATAATAAAGATTTTTTAAACAGGTTGCATTTCATTTTAATCCTCTACAAATATTTGAGCAAACATTGTGAAATTTTATACAGTTGTTCCAACAAATTATAATTAAATTTGCATTACTATGAATTTTAAAACATAAAATTCATTAAACTGTGATTAGTAATTTTAGTATAATGCAATTTCTTGTGCATATATTCCAGAACCTAAAAAGCATTGTTCTCATTTTAATTTTTCAGAATTTTTTAGCCTGTCATAAAATTATTTATGATGATTCGAATGTTCTAAACTTATACAAATTATTATAGTTTATTATTGCTTCAATTTTTTCAGTGTTTTGCAAAATCATGATTTTATAAAAAAATAATATTAAATTTCGAGTTGGCTCGAGCTCAGCTTGGGATTGGCTTGACTTGAGTTTTTGAGCTTGAGCCAAGTTTGAACTAGCACTTTTTTATATGCGAGCTGGCTTGAACTCACATACTCGAGCTCGAGCTAAGCATAAATTTGGCTTGGCTTGTATGGAGTTTTACTTTCGATTTTTAATTCTTTGGTAATTTATAACTCTTTTTCTAATTCTCTAGTTTTATTTTCTAGGCAAAAATGGAAACTTGTGAAAGTAGTTCTTTGTCAGAAAGTGATTTAGTTGATTTAACTTTTAAATGACTACAAAAACATCTGTTCCATTCCTTTTTAACCTACCACATTCTCACATCATGGAAGAGCATTATTATTGTAATCTTTTTTACATTCACTGCAAATAAAAACTATATCAGAGTGACCATCAGGAGCATTACAAGCTACCATTTAATGAAATCTCCCCGATTGTATTACATTAAAACAGTGTTGTGCAATTGGAACATTGTAACACTATTGGAATGTTCCAATGTAGACCTTCAATTGATATTGACCAATAAAAATTGTGTGGGTGTCACTGTAATTGAATTTCATTGGTTAACTCCATTGGAACCACATTTGGAACATTCCAATTCCAATTGGAATTTGTTTAAATGTTCCAATGAAATTTTATTGGAACCATAAATGGCACAACACTGCATTAAAAGAAATCATTACCAAGAAAATTTGAGACAAATTTTTTTTTAAAATTAATAGACTCCCTTTTTAAAGCTGAATTGAATGGTGGTGGGTTTTTTAAAATCCAATGTTTGGATCACATAATATTTCAAAAATTTTAACTTTTGAGTATATATGATCCACACTATATATTTCTGTACTTTTTGTCACAGATGACTTCAAAAAAAACAGCAACAGAAACAAAAAACTGACCCAAAAAAGACCACAAAAAAAGATCCAAAAAAACAAAAGACAAGTCAAAGTTCTTCTGTATCTATACAACATTCAGAACATATTGCCAGCCAAGACTTGGATCTTACAAGATCTACTAGGAACCTTAGAATCAGTTATCATTCTGAATATAACTTAAAAGTTGTCCCTTCTCAGGCATATAAATTCACAGAAGAAGATATTGAAGGCACTTAATGCGACCTTCGAGTCAACTTTGAATGAGAATAACATCATATCTGATGTTGAAGGTAAGAATTATGATATATTCTCAGCAAAACTATGCTAATAATTTATATACTGCCTAGCCACAAACCTTCCGGGACAATACCTTCTTCCAAAAATCAGTCATGATATTCTTGAAAAGAAAAAATTTGATGTTCACAAGCTTAATACTTCAGACATATATGTAATGCAGTTCTTAAGACTCTTAACAATGTTGAAATTAATTCAGGTCTTGATTAAAGCTACTAACGGGTCGAGTTCGGTTTGATATCAGGTTAATAAGAAAATTTTGTGATTTACATAAATTCAGATAATAATAATTAATTAAATATAAAAGGTGAAATAGTTGTAGTGGTTTAAAAGCTGCAATTTGTGTCATGCGTGATGCAAAAGATGTAGAACTCAATCCGTGACGCAAGACGTAACTCAAGGCAATTCGTGACTCAAGACGTAACTCAAGGCAATTCGTATAATCCGTGACACAATACATAATTAAAGACACAAGGCTAGTGGATGATGGCCAGAACTAGCCATAGTTTAGGCCTAATTTTACGGCGAAGTTGGCGAACCTAAACTGCAGGTAAAAACCAAGCGGTCAATTACATCAGGAAATTAATTTAGCGTAAACTTGCATAAATCTTACGATGCCGACGTAATATTGTGTAAATCTTACAGTGCCGACGTAAGTTTTACACTTTTTTATTATTAAACTTACAATTGACACGTGTAAAATTTTTTTATATTTTCCGGATGTAGATGTTGAAAACATTTGTCGAAAGCATTTTTTGTTGAAATTAGACTGTTTTATATACATCGTATCGCCATGATAACACATGTAAGCTTCTACTTTTTTATTATAAAGCATATGAAAGTAAAAACTGCATAAAAGTTAAAAACCTTAATATTAATCTAGTATATATATAATATAATAAACATCTCGACTTCTTTGTACGTATGCTTTAGGCTATTAATAGATTACTTTGTACGTATGGTGCAAGTCACTTAGTCCAATCAAAAATGCAATAAAAATTTTACAGTCACATGATTTTTATTAAATAAATTTGATTTTTTCATACATCGTTCATGTTTCCTCTCGATCGCGTATCTTAATTTGGCCGCGTTTACGATCATTTAATTGAAATTCGTTATGTTAAGGTTATTTTGATTATATCGAGAGATATGGTCAAGAGAAGAGAAGAGTTAGGAAGAGAGTTATTCTTCAACCAAGTCGAAAACCAACCCTTTAAATAAATTTTCGAGTAGTACAATTTTTAATTTATTAAACTGTTTCAATGGTTCGTCGCGTGGTTGCTTCCAACTTCTTAAATTCGTTAACGAAATGATTGTTGGTGAGGCGATTGTTGACAAAATGAATCAAACCCATATTAATATTTATATATTTCTACATTATCAAATTCACGATTTTGATTGGTCAATCACCAAATTGCATGGGTTAAAATTTTGTGTTCCCAGGACGGTCTCTCCTGTTCACTTGCACATCCTCGATTACAAAACTTGTTAATATTAAGATAGTAATCATTCATGGGAATTGTTATTCGCACCCCTCCCATGACTAAGTGTAGTAATGTGACCAATGAATGCCTTTAAAATGTGATGATTTTATTGGTTCATCTTTGTCTTAGTCACAGGAGGGGTGCGAATAACAATAATGTAATTCATTATATTGGTAAATCAAAATTTTTGTCAAAATCTACCAAATTGACTTCATCTTACAGAAGATTCATAGCAAATTTTGTGACAGTTAGTACTCAATTTACAGAAGTGGAAAAAAGCATGAATACAAAAAATAATGAGATTTGAAATAAAATTTTCAATATATTACATATAGTGTACGTTTTGCAAAAATGTTTATTCCAAAAATCGTGTTTGTTATGTACAGATTTCAAATCCATATAAAAAACCTTTATTACCAGATCAGACCTTGTGACAAGGTCCCTGGCCCGCCCTGATTGAACTGGAAAAGCTTGCAATATTATACAGGTTCCGTATTCCGTACATCTGCGCCTCTGTAGTAAATCATGCACAAAAATATGGAATCGAAGATCGCCCCACCAATCAACTTTTCAGAATTCACTTCCGTTCCGTACAAAATTAAAAATAAAAATAAAAAATGTACGGAACAAAAAAAATAGTGTACGGAATTGAAAGTTCTACGGAATCTCTACTGACTGTATTATATGCGAATAAGTAATAGTAATTATTGTTGAATGGTGGGTGATCTGTAACTCGGTCATTCTAGTTAATATGTAAAGATTGTCGATCATGTTTACTAAAATCTGATTTATCGTAAATAAAAGTTATAAAAATTTTTATATCATGAAGATTGTTGCGTTAATAAGTGGAGGGAAGGACAGTTGTTATAATATGTTACATTGCGTAGCAAATGATCATGAAATAGTTGCATTAGCAAATTTAAAGCCAATATCAAATATAGGAAAAGGTTAATTGATATTTTTATTATTTATTGGCATCATACAAATTAAATTATTAACCACTTTTGTTATTCAGATGAATTGGATAGTTTTTTATATCAAACAGTTGGCCATGATGCTATCGAGTATTATGCCGGATGCATGAATTTACCACTTTATCGTCGAGAAATTGTTGGCAAGTCAATAGTTCAAGAAATTGATTATCGAGAAACTGTTAATGATGAAACTGAAGATTTATATGAATTGTTAAAAACAGTAAAGGTAGATGTGTGAATGGAATAAAAAATTTTAAAACCCGTTTATTAATCATTAAAATTACTAAATTAGGAAAGTCATCCTGATATTAAAGCAATATCTGTAGGGGCAATTTTATCAAATTATCAACGAGTTCGTGTTGAAAATGTGTAATGTTTCTCCTCCTTCCTTATTTAAATTTATTAAAAAAAATAATAGCTTATTGATCAAAAATCAATTAGGTGTAATCGTCTAGGTCTTATATCACTTGCATATCTTTGGCGAAGAAATCAAAAGGAATTGCTAGCTGAGATGATTGATTCTGGATTAACTGCCATTCTGATTAAAGTTGCTGCAATAGGTTAGACTTAGGTTTATTGACGTTGATATGCTTATAAATTATATATGTCTTTAAGGTTATTCTTTCTTTTCTATTTTTCAATCTAATTTAAAGGCCTTGAACCATCACATTTGGGAAAATCTATCAAAGAGTTATATCCTTACTTATGTACTTTGGTTAGTTATATTATTGCATGCATGCATGCATACTATATAATATATAGTATATTAAGATTTTCATTTTTAGACAAAATTTTTGGGGCCCTTAATTTAATGATACATGATTAACCTTTAGAATGAGAAATATGATGTTCATATATGTGGAGAAGGTGGTGAATATGAAACATTAACATTAGATTGTCCTTTATTTGTAAAAAGAATCATCATGTAAGATTATATAGTTGGATAATTTTTTTATGAAAAAATTCTTTTTTTTTTTCATAAAAATTTTACTCTTTATCAGTGAAGAAACAGAAATTGTGACACATTCAGATGATGCATTTGCAACAGTAGCATATCTTCGTCCAAAGAAATTGATATTAAAAGAAAAACCAGCTAATGAAATTATGTTAAATCCTAAATTACCATTACCTAACTGGAAAGAAAATTTAAAGGAAACTTTTGAACTGATCACAAATGAGGGAGAGGTATCATTATTTTTTTAATAATACTATTGCTCATGTTTTCTTCTTTTTATTTATTTTGAATTGATTAATTTTATGATTATTTCATATAAAAGGTAATAAATAATGAAGCTTCAAACAATATAATTCCCTCAATAATTATTATTGATTATGATATTGAAAAAGAAACTTACAACTCAAGCAAGTAGAAATTACAGTCTTTATAATATGTTTTGTTATTTAATACTAAAAATTTTAGGGATTTTTTTTATAGATATCTATACTGCACATACAAATTCATCATCTTATTATTGTAACATATCTGGTACAACTGCTTATTCTAACAAAAATCACAAAATGAATTTATTATTTGATAATATTGAAGAAGAAACTCAGGCATGCATGTTGAATATTCAAAGTAAAAAAATACTTTGATGTTTTTTAATGTAAAAATAATTAATTATAAAATAACTAATTGCATCTAGATATTTTTTTATTCATGATTAGCACAATTACACAATTTTGGATTTGGATGGTCCGATGTTGTTAATATGAATGTATTTATAAAGGATATGAATGAATTTGTGCGAATGAATTCAGTTTATAAAAGGTTTTTTGACATAAACCCGCCTCCGCGGTAAGTTAAATAAGAATGAATTATGATTTTGTTTTTTTTGTAATATTTACATCATTTGAGTAATGAATTACTTTATAGTGCATGTGTTGGTTGTAATCTACAATCGCCAGTTAGGATCCAAATTGATTTGATGGCTATTACATCATCACCATTGAAACCAAGGGAAACTATGCATGTACAAAGTATGTCTTATTGGGCACCTGCAAATATTGGACCATATTCTCAAGCAACTATTGTAAGTCAATTGGGATTAAAGAAAGGCAATTTAATTTTATATCTTTTTTTCAATTAATAAAAATACTCCTCATATATATTATTTAGACAAAAAATCATGCTTATATTGCAGGACAAATTGGTCTAATACCATCATCATTGGAGCTACCTCATACTATTGAAGATCAAACTCTACTTTCCTTGAAAAATTTAGAGAATGTTACCTCTGTACTAGGATTAGAAGTGAAAAGATTAACATCATTATGCATATGTTATATAGATGATGTTAAGTCTTTTAATTTTGTTAAAAAAGCTTGGAAAATCTTTTTTAACTATGATGATAATCTTGTTTCAAAGGTAATTCTATATTTACTGTATATTATGATTTGCTTGATAAATTTTTTTTGGAAGATCATGCATTTTAAAAATGATTTAGAAAGATTTTACCCACCCACCTACTTTGTTTGTTGTTGTTCCGTCTCTTCCACGTGGCAGTAAAGTTGAATGGCAAGTTTTGGTGCATGATGATAAAATAGATAATGAAATGATTCTTAAGAAACCTTCAATATTTGAAGGTAAGTTGCTCGTTCACTTGTATGCATGCATGATTGTTTGAATTGTTATTTTTTTAATTTGAATTTTATTTTTAAAGATAATAAGAAAACAGAATTTATTAATACAACAACAAGTGTGTGGTTCATGTGTCCAATTTTTAGTAGTGTAATATTAATAAAGCTTCTTAAAGGTAAAAATCTTTTATAATAATTAATAATAATAATAATAATAATAATAATATTTATTTATTTATTTATAAACAGATGTAACTTTATCTATTCTTATTGATAATATCTCGACAAGTTTAAATAATCTATTTGAACACTTTTTAAAATCTCAAGCAAACATCACATCAGATATTATGATATTTTGGAATAATATATCTTCTATTAGAATTTTTTATTCTGAAAACATTGAAATCAAATTATTGGATTTAAAAAAAGGTATTGATTCACTTTTTTCTCTGAAATATTTTAAAATCTATTAATTAATAAAAATTCTTTTTTTAATTAATTATTATTATTATTATTATTTTATTATTATAGCAATTAAATTAATGATGATTAATAGTTTACCAATAACTGCTAAACCTTCAATAACGTTAATTCCTGTATTAGCAATTAGTGAAAATAGTGCTTTAGGAATTTGTGTTAAAGGTGAATTTGACTGATATTGAAGAGACTTTTTATAATAATAAAATTAATCATTATTATCATTATTTAACTATTAATGATGACAAGTTAAATTAATCACCATTGTTGTACAATTTTTCATATTAGCAGAATTTATTGAGAATTTTAATAATTGAAATGAGTTTATATTACAACAAGATAATATATTTTTACTTCTAATATTAATATTATATAGGATGAAATAAAAAGTTGACATGCTATATAATAGATCATATTGACATTATGCGATCCCGATTGTTGTTTGCATCTGACCATCACTATCAATGGAGGCAATTACGGAAATCTTTTCAACGCCATAAATGTTTTTAAGTGCTATGATGATTTTTGATAGCAGGAAGCTTTTTCCAGTTCCTGCGGAACCGGTGAAAAATACATTCACGCGTTGATTTACAGTTAGATCATAAACTATCCTTTGTTCTTGTGATAGTTTCGCGTCTGCTGATACGTTATATTTGAAAAAATTGTCAATTTTTTCTTGACTGTTCACATTGTAAGAAGAAAAAGAACGTGAATAATGATATGCATTATTATTGGTTAACTAGAGTGACAACAAGTGGCAACAACCACCATTCTTTTGATAAGCACTTACCCAGCGACTGCTTTTCTTTCGGCTCCTTTTCTTCTTTTATTTGAATTTTTTTAAAAAGAAAAATACGTAAATAAATAAATTGCTCCTGAAACTTCAATCTGATGCAAATGAGCCTTCTTCATATTAACTATTTTTATATATGGGTAAGTAATTCTATAAAATTCGTGTGCACAATCCCCTTAAACTGTGCACAACGAGGCTAAAATTTTTGTGCAAATTCTTGCACTATTATTATTATATACATTTTTATATATATATATAATGCACAAAAAAAAAATCAAAAAAACTAACCACTTACAATTTTTTGTGCAATACACTGGTCATAATTTTTTTAAAAAAAATGCCAAAGGAAAATTAAATAAGTGTTTATCATATGAATGGTGGTTATCGCCAGTCGTCAATCTAATTATAAAATAACAACAAAAAATTAGCACCGATTATTGAGATTGACAAACACACCAGAAATGCCATTATTTGGTGGCGTAAATTCTTTTTTATGTTTATTGATTCTAATCTTTAAAATAAAATTTTATATTAAAGGGTAAAATATCACTTAGTAACGGAATGGATATTTCTAATATGTTCTCTTTGGGATTAAAAAGCAGGAAGAATAAGTAGGTTTATTTAGTGTTCTTATGTATGCACTTTTAAAGCATACTTAGTAATACTATATTATTTAATTTAGCGAGATGTTAAAACTCGAAATTGTTGACCTGGAAGAACAAAGATACCATATTGGTAGCTACAAACAAACATAACGACTTTCATTTCGACTTAGAATCAACCACTTTTGATTGTGCTAATATTTTTTTAATGATACATCGATTATCAAATGTTTAAAAAGCGAAAGAATATTATAAAAGTGTAAGAACTTTTCACATTTAACTTTGAAAAATCAATCAAGTCATTTATAAAGAAGATGTGAATGATTTAACTATTATTTATCAAAATTAAAATTAATGTTCTCTTTACCTTTATAGGTTACTTCATTTTTAAATTTGTACATTCCAAACCACAACTAACGATGGAAATATTCTCTGTTAAACAATGATCGACTCAAATATCGTGTCGTAAGACCTTTTATACAAATGACAACAGCATCGTCTTTTTCAAAATCATCTGGCTGGATGGTTCTAGGATGAGATACTAAAAACTTTAAATTAGGACTACGTTTTATTTCATAAATATCACATCCATTATGTGGATTAATTATATTTTGTTGTTGAATAGCATCATTTGTATCAAATTAGAATTATGATTATCTTCTTCCTGAATAGCATCATTTATAGTTAAATTAGAATTATGATTATCTTCCTCCATAATTGATATTTTATCTTTTTCTGTATATCTATAATGTCAACATTCTTGTCATCACTTGAGTTAAAGCTTTATTTTTTGCCATTTTTTATTGGTAATAAATAAATAAATACTTTTTCAATATATGTATGAAAAATTTGTAAAGGATAAAAAAAATAAAAAGATTTCGTATGCTCATGATAGCGTACATCTTATTATTATATGAAAAAAAGTATATCCAAATTTATTCGTTCTATGTTTTAAAAACGATTATGCAATGATTTATTGATTTAGAGTTTCCATTCATAATAAATTCTTATTCGAATTATTCATAACACAACTCGTTTATTTAAAGAAAGTTTTTATAGTAATAGATGAATGTATATCCAAATCCCTTCGTTCTATGACTGATTAGAGCGTCTTTATATAGTAACTTGTACTTTATAACAATATATTGAGATTATCAATAGATTGTTTCGCAATTAATATATAGGATTTTACATATTGTGGAGAATAGTTTGAGGTAAAATTAATGAAAAAATTAATGAAAAATTAAATTTTAATTTGAAACAAGTAATCTTTAAAAGGAACTGCAATTTTCTGAAGCGATGATTTTAAGAAATTCGTGAAGTGACCAAAAAAAAGGGTTCAGATCGTTAATATCATACAGACTGTAGAGCGGTTCGCTTTAGAAGATTGTTGTAAATATGTGTTAGTATGTGTTAATGGCAATATTAACAACTAAGCCTTTGATATTTGTTCTTTTCTCATTTGCAATTGACCAAGGTTTTTTTTTTTGTTAATAATAATGACAACGACGTCAATAATGATGACGACAACGGTGATGACAATGATGATAATGGAAATGATAACAATGGCAATGACAATAACAGTAGTAGTAATAGTGGTATTAATGACAATGAATAAATGGCGGTGGTACTGGTAGCCACGAGCAACTACCACACCATAAAAGGATAAATCAGATATGTTATTGAAAGAAATTATCAAGGTAATACGAAGCAGTAATCCTATGATGCTGTGTGCGTGAATTTGAAATTCACGCGCGTGAAACTCAAATTAACCAATCAGAATTTTGTACTCAAATTTCCAAATTCACACGATTTTGATTTTCACGCACAACAATGCCATATATTGTGGAGTATAAACAATTTTTAATTGTATCAATGAAAGTTTAAAAATTGGATTTATTCCTGCATCACTTGTATTTCAAAATTCTTACGAGAAAAAATTTTTTTTGGCAAAAATCTTGCAGTCATATGAATTTTTTTGGAAAGGCAAGAACCACATGTCCGAGTTTTATATAACAATATTTTTTATCTTTTTTTCATATCAATAAATCAAAAAAAATACAAATTATGTCACCTACTATAAAAGTATTCTCTCAATATAATTAATTATATCAAAATATGTTGACATTATATTATTGACAATGTTTTGGACCATTACTACACTTGGTTTGGATAGATAACTCGAGCTTGATTTAAGAGAAAAACCGTCCGCACAAGAATTAGATGACAAAGATTGACGATTTTTCTCTATGGATGGTTTCAATTCTATTCCTCTTGGATGGCACAATGGTGGATTGTTCGTTTTTTTTTACATGTATATCAAGCAGTTTATATATAAATTTAACAGACTATTATAACAACAAATTTGCACAAAAAATGAACCCTCTTTATATATAGTTGATAAATATTACAAGTCTTATAACAACTAAAACACGCTATAAAACATATATTTATCTAAATTTTTAAATATTCCAAATATCGCTATCCCTATTATGTTTGAGAAGACTAATAAATTGCATAACGCATTAATATACCCGGATATGATATGAAAGAAGTAATTGCATACGGTGGTTATGTGGTAGCATAGAATTAGAACGGCTCTTTGAGACCAAAAAATTATATGATAATCTGTCTATTCTTTGACCACATGGAAACCCCCGAAGAAATGGGCGATAAGAGCTCGAGTTCCTCTACAAGAGCTGAGAAATGGAGCATTTATCATGTTCCAACTCGTTGGAGGTCTTCTTATCTGGTTTAGGAAAGGATTTATAATTTGAAAGATGCAATCTATACAGTTATATTAAGAAATAAAAAAGGACAATCAAAAAATACTACAAAAATTTATGTTTGCAAAAAGAAGAATGGGATTTCATTTGGATATAATAGATGTATTATGTCCATTTTACGGATTTACTCGGATTTTGGGTGCCAGTGATTATTATAGTTAGTCTTGTGTATCCTTTGATTAAATACATTAAGGAAAAATGCAAAAACACAGCAGATGATGTTCATGAGATGGATTTTGAATCAGCTGATGTTGTTTTTGATGTTGTTGTTATGAATATGCCACGTTGGTAAAATTGGTAAAAGGAAAATCAGCCTAAAAAAAATTAATATATATAGTAATAGTGGAACTACCAAATACTTGTGCGCACCTGCAATGTCCACTCCAAGTGAGAAATACAATGATCTCAAAAAGAACAAAACTTAATCCAATTTTATTCGAACGTAACAAATGATTAATAAATTTAAAATTTTTGTTAACGTTCACTGAATAATTAATTTAAACAATTTATTTTAATTATTATCCAGGTATTAAATTTAATTGATCGAATGAATATAAAACGAATGAATATTCGATGGATGCGACCTCTATGATGGTCATGCATTATTGCTTATCAATTATTAGAAGTAAATATATTTATATTTTGATATTAATCACTATTTATTCATCTCATACATCTGAAATGAACGAAAACAATATTGTAATTTCCCATATTTCACTTATATACTAGAATTTGATTGTGGATCTTTTCCCCCACATGTATTTTTTCGAAAATTTAAAGTAAAAAAAATCCGATGGCATCTATGTATTTGAAATTTATAGACATACAGTCTGATGATATACAGTGTATAATCTAATGTTATATGATGTATGCATTATAATTAAATTAAATCATTTAAAATAATTCAAGACAACCGCAAATGTTTAAAAAAGATAAACCACGTAACATTATTTGAAATTCATATACCCCAGCCTTTTCAATAGTAGCGAGGTCAACACTGAAAATCATATGATTTTGAGTTAACACTACCTTTGTATGTAACTCTTTAGATAGAGCGCTTTGGCTTAGAAATCATACCCATTTTGCCCAGTAAAACATCTTTTTTCGGCATTGTCCTTGTTCTATTGATAAGCACATACTTGTTATATTGTGCTTATTGTGCCGAGATCAAAAGTATAAAATTATTCAAACAATTTGTTTTAATGAGCGCTAAACGATGCCTGTCACAATAGTAAAAAAAAGGGATAATAATAATAATAATGTTATTTCTTGTTTCCGTAACGATATTTATAAATGATGAACTAAATTCCTCCAAAAATTTAAAGCCACCATTGCATTTTTTTGACAAGTCATCGAATAATTTAGCTTTGAAAGGTACTGAATATATTGCAAATAGTTCATTACCAAAACAAAATTTAGCAGTTAGTTTATTTCATTTAATAAAATTTAATTATATGAGAGTAAATGCCTTTCGATAGAAAAGGATTTTGAGTTAAATACCACTAGTATCTTAGGGGTGGGCAAATTTGCATTTTTTTTCGTATAGTAACACGATATATAGAAATATCGCTTAATATTAACTTGGTTAGAATTTACGGAAAACGATCGACACGGAGACCTTTTTATGTGTCAATATTTTTGTTAAAATAGTGCTCAAAAACATCCGCAACGTGGATGTTTTGGGATCGAATCACACAATATCTAATAATCTTATTAACCAATAATAATGAAAACATTTATTTGCTTTACTCTTCACGTAGAATTTTTGGTTTAACAATCATACCGCTTTTCATAGTAAAACTTGAATGCAGATTTTATTTTCAATTTTTATTTTTAGGGTATATCCTTTTCTCCCCATATTTCTTTGTTTATGTCAAGGAAAAGCGAAGAGAAAATTCCTTCTTGAACCAATTTAAGAAAAATAAGTGATGTAATATTATTTACTATTCTTGTTGAAGAGTATAAAATTTATAATTATGGATTTATGTTTAATTGATTGGTGATTATTGTTAGTATTGTAGTAATTATATTTATATATAAATATAAAATTTAATGTTTTGTTTATAAGATCGTATTCTGTTGCACGAAAACTTTAATATTGAATGCATGTGGCGCATGATATCGATTTACCCAATACGGGAAAAAAATTCGCATACTATACTAATATTAAATATTATAATTATACAGAAACAATCCATTTGACAATTCACAGTCAAAAAAATTTTGTAAGATATACCTTGTTTTTTTCCAAAAAAACTATATTTTAATAAAACAGTATCTATATAGGACATTGAATTGAACATTGAACATTGATCCTGGTAACCATAATCATATGTTTATTATTATTATTGTGATTATGATTACGACGCCTCTTTTTTGCATTCAATTTTTTATTTTATACAATAATGACTCATAAGAAAAAAATTAATTTAGTGTAACAAAATTGATTACAAGTAGTAGATCAAAATAAGATAAATGATAAGATAAACACACTTGTGGCAAGTGAGAAATAGATTATGGGTTACACAAATGTGTTCTATATACAAACAAAAAAAACAAAAAATTCAAGTTCTTTTTTTTTTTAAAGGAATATTTTTTTCGCCGCATTTAGTTAGGTTCGGTTTTTAATATCAATTTTTTTGTTTTTATGCCGATTATCATTTTCTATATGTTAATTATTATAAATAATATATATAAAAAAAACTTAACGCCACAAATTAACATAGTTGTACAAAATGTTGAGAATGGCTCAACGCCACAATTATCAAAATTATTTTGGGGCTTATGTTATTTACATGATCTATACTTTTACAATTTTAACTAAAAAGAAAATCCCCCGCCGCCAGGTTCAGGAGCTGATACAAAAATTCTCTCCCGTTTTACTATGGTTTTATTATGTTAGTTATTATTATATAGTATTGGATGAGTTTGGTCAAATTCCAAGTTGACGCTCCCTTACCGCAGAAAATCATGTGATTTCCATCTTATTAAAAAAATTTACACAATTTAAAAAATTTTTTTTATAAAAAAGTAATGGCGGGATTTTTTTTGAATAATGTCACCAAAAAATTATTTGTAACGACTCCTACGGCAACAACATTTTTTAAAACTTTAACAACAATTGCAAAACCAAAAGTTTTCTTGGATGTTACCGCTGATGACGAACCTATTGGAGTAAGTTGCCAAAAACTTTACCTGATGAGGAACGAGCAGTAATTTACTAAGTTGTTTGTTTTTAATGTGAAAAAGCGTATTGTTCTTGAGTTAAGAGCCGATGTTGTACCAAAAACAGGCAATTAAATTGTCTTTTGTTTTTTTTTTTAGTATTAATTTATTATTAATAATTAATTTAACATTGTTTATTATTATCGTCATCATCATAGCTGAAAATTTTAGAGCATTATGTACTGGAGAGAAAGGAGACACATACAAGAATTCAAAATTTCATCGTATCATTCCTAAATTTATGATTCAAGGAGGCGATTTCACCAAGCATAATGGTACAGGTGGAAGATCGATTTATGGAAAACATTTTGATGATGAAAACTTTAACTTGAAACACACCGGAGAGGGTACTTGAGAAAAATTTTATTTATAAAATAATTGGTTGATAAACTAAGAAATTATCTCTAATAATCATATTATTCTTATTTCTTCCTTATTTATCAAAAGGTATTCTTTCAATGGCTAATGCTGGACCAAATACCAATGGATCTCAATTCTTTATTTGTACAGCCAATACCAGTTGGTTAAATAATAAACATGTTGTTTTTGGTCGAGTTGTTGAAGGTTAATAATATTGGTATTATAATAATATGAATATAATATTATTTACTACATTATTGACCTATTAATTGTTTTCATAATTTAATGTTTAGGAATGAGCGTAGTTCAAGCCATTGAAAAACTTGGATCAGAAGATGGCACACCATCTAAAACTGTTAAAATCACTGATTGTGGTCAATTACCATAAATTGATCAATTAAACAGAATCTTGACGATTGGAATTTCTATTAAGTGAAATAATTATATAGTAATGTATAATAATAATAATGGAAAATAAATTTCTTGTCACGTGGTATATTCAACCCCAAAATTTTATAAAGGACGTCAATTGACTTTTGCCAACACTAAATTTTTTTTGTTTGTTTGTTTTGCTTATTAAATAATATGCTAATTAAATAATATGCTAAAATTGTGAGTAATTATGAATTAAGATTATTCATAAATTAAATGTAGGATGACACGTTTACAATCGCATTAATCATCATAATAATAAAATAGTATAAATACATGATCACTACTATTAATAGTTTGATATTGATATCTTTTAATATTGTTGGTTAATTCCAGAAAGGATAAAAGAATAGAATGTATGAACATACTATACAATTCATTATTATACATTTTTATTTTTGAATTTATAAAAATGTTACACGGTTTCTTTATCCATAAATTAAAATTTCCTAAATTTCAAAAAAAAATTATTTATTTGTTAGTTTATATATATGTTGAAGGAGCTCATGTGAATCGAAAATCTATTATTCTTGATGACAAATGATACAATGATTTTATAACCACTATTTATAATAAAGATAAGATAATAATTATATTGTGTGGTAAAATAATTTTTAATAATTTATAAATTTATATAACAATAATATAAAAAAATTATCCTTTGATCAATTTCCATTTTTTATTATTTTGATATTTTGGGAAAAATTTCCGAGAAAGTCTTGAATATTTTGGGATGTTTGAATGCTATAATATGCATACATTTTGACGCCACAGGATTTCAGGGTACAAAATCAAGTGATCCAAATTTGTACGCACGCTACCCATTCTGTTTTCTTGGTTTGCTAGGCTAGATAACTCATCAATTAAAATTAAAAGGCAAGCACGAAATATATTAACCAGTATCTGACGACTCGCAATATCTGAAATCCTGAATAATCTTGGCTAAGCAATCGTGCTTAGCAGCTCCTGAAACTGTTGCTTGGTATATGAAGTTTTAAAGAATGAGTAAATTCCTTCGTCTCTTTGCCAAAAGTATTATGCCAAGTCGGGTATATTTGTTTGTTTTTAATTTTGTCATTGCTAGTAATCAACCCTTTCAACTCCATGTTGTAGGAATGGATCCACAAAAACATAGTGAGACGTTACCTTGATAACAATGAATTCATTCACGAAATGGAGAAAATCCCCACAATATCCGGTGACTGTTATACAAGTGAAATTGCAGATGAAATCGAGGGTTTTCCGTTCAAGAATCAATTGAAACAGCAAAACTACAATTTGCAATCTGCTAAAATCTGCGAGAGCCGAAACAAAGGAGCTTTTCGAGAAACTGGGGACCAGAAACAAGAACAAGTTTTGGCTGATTAATTGATAGGATCACAAGTGTTCGCTCAAAATAGAGTGTATTGTTCTAGAAATTCCTGAAAAACTAGAATTAAGGTGAGGTGCATTGTGTAACTGGTTACTTTTGAACCCCATAATTAATTTTTCTGCTAGCACAATGTTTCAAATTACGTTTTTTACTTGTAACACACGATAATTAATGTACGTCCATTAACTACGACGACATACGCCAATTTACCTCAATAGACTTTCAATCAATAAATAAAAAGAAATAGCATCTTTATTTTTGTCTGACAAGATAAGGTCGGTCTTTTATTTTGATTTTCTCAATAATGCGCGTTTCAAGAAAAAAGAAATTCTTTGGAGAAAATTATTTTTGTCTGACAATATAAGTCAGTTTATTTGATTAAACAAAAGAATTTCTAATTACTATTGCGGAGTTTCTATTCCATAAATGAAAATCATATTTTTTTTATAATATCACACTTCATATTAATAATATATATATCAAATATACAAAAAAAAAATTTTTTGATTTTGTAAAATAACTTGGCGTCGCAGAGTTTTTAAGAAATATTCATTTTCAACCTTTGATTTCTTGAGTTTTTTTAACTAAAGAAATTCAAATTTCAAAAAATTTCAAAAAAATTTAAAAAAATCTTTCAATTCTTTCTTTTCTTTCTTCCTTCAATTAATTTCACAGCATATTTATTTATTAATCATTTCGAATCATCACATTTTAAAACCTGATAAATAAAAAAGCATTGACAGTTATTTATTTACAATTTTAAAATATACAGCTTAATTTTAAAATAGAAATAAAAGGTATATTACGTATTCACATTCATATTTTTATTTACTAATTAATTAATAATAAAAAATTTGTTTTAAAAAAAAAAATTTCATAAATAAACAACATTTTTGTAAAAAAAAAATTTTTAAATAAATAGTCGTTTTAATTTTCCTTCTTTTCTTTTTTTTCAACCAAAAAAAAAAAATAATAAATTTTTTAAGGTTTTTTATTTCTCTCTTCTTTCTTTTATTTATTCAGGAAAATATATATATATTTATAATCAATTTCTTTTTTTTTTCACGATTTTTTTCCCCTTCAATTGTACAATTTGTAATAACAATAATTTTTTATTTTCAACAAAAAAATATTCTTTTCCTCTTCTTTTATTATTTATTTATTTCAATTTTTTTTTTCCTCTCCGAAATAAATCTTGATCTTTAATTTTTAATTTTAGTTTCATTTTTATTTAAAAAAAAAAAATCCTTACACATAAATATATATATATATAAATATAATATATATATAATTTTTGTCTTGGAAACCTTTAATTTATTTAAACCTTGTTGGATTTTTTCCTCTTTTTACCTTTTTTTATTCAATCAATTAAAATGTTCAATTTTTTACAACAACCAGAACAAGAACAACAACAACAAGATTCATCACCTTTCTTGCCGGTATTATCATTAATTGATTCTCCATCAACTACAAATTTCGATTATAATATCACCGATACACAACATAATATTGGTTACACCAACGCAAACCAATCAAATAATTTTATTAACACACTGCCACTCCAAATTTCTTTTCCCATAATTACTACCACCAACACTTCACCTCTTCTATCAAGTTCTCCGGTGGCTGATAAAAATCCTAACAACAACTTCAATTATTGTTCAAAAGGCCAAGCAGATTCTAATTCATTTAGAAACAACAACAATAATAACAACATTCATAATTGGAACACCATTAATAATATTAATAATAACATTAATAATAACATTAATATTAATAATTCATCTGTTCCTTTATTTTCCCCAAGAATTTCATTTCCACAAACTATTCAACAACCACAAATACAACATAATTCAGCAACAAACACAAATAATATAAATAACTTTTTAATAAATAATACTACAAACTTATCTGACACAATAACTACGCCTAATTTTTTAGGTGACAACTTAAATACAGCTTCTGAATTTGGTACTTCTTACACACTAACCGCTGCTACTCCTACTGTGCCAACGGTTGGTACACCTTCAACTCCATATTTTAGTACCCCATATATAAGTACTTCTCAACTTAGTCCTTCATATATAAGTACCCCTCCATATATAAATCCTGCTGAGGAAGCAGATTATAACTCAAGTATAACTTCAACTCCATTCATCCCTCCCACTCCTCTTACCACCTTTAACACACCTTACACTCGCAATAATAATAATTACAATAACAACAGCAGCAACAACAACTACAACTACAATAACAACAACATTAACAGCAGCAACAACAACATTATCAGTACTCCAGTAAACGATAGCGATCCAAAAATATTTGATAATTCTGGTCAGAGTTCCTCCTGGTTTAATTTATTTCCTACATCACAAGACTCTCAACAAATATCACAGTTAGGAGAAGTAACAGAAGAAGATATATTACCGAGTCCTCAATCGTATATAAATATAACTGAACAATTACAACAGTTACATTTGCAACAACCGCAGTACCGTCAATTTTCTTGCTCTTCGACTCCTCTTATTCTTAATTTTGATAATTTCAGTCCAATAATAATGGAAATGGACGAAGCTCATAATCCTTTATCAAAATCAAATACAATTAATAATAATGAAATTCATGATAACGATCATAGCCTAAATCATAATAATGATAATATCAATACTTCCAATCTTAATATAAATCCAACATCATCAGAAATTGCAACAACTTCTTCTTCTCCAACATTAACGTCAAAACAATCAGCGACTACACCTATAATGACACAATCAATATCAACAAGCAAAACAAGCAATAACAATATTAATAATTTATTGAATACTAGTTTCTCACTTATTAAAAGAGAAGAATCAAACAACAACAATAATATTGATGAAACTACTATTTCGCTAACACAAAAAATCCTATCATCTGCATCACCTTCCACGATATCTTCAAATCCTGGTGGTATGATAAGTACGGTTCATAATAATTCCAGATTAATGGTTGCTAGTGATGGAAGCGTTGGTGTTAATACTATTGCTGCTACATCAGCATCTGATGCTATCAGAAAACATGAAAATCAATTAGATCATTTAACAGCAGAGCAAGAACAACAACGTAATAAAAAACGTCCGCGTACAAGTGTAACTGAACAACAACAACAACAAGAAGATGATACCGAAGAGAAAAAACATCTTTGCCCCGAGTGTGGCCGAGGCTTCAATCGCAAATTCAATATGCAAACGCACAGGTCCACGCATGATCCTAATCGTATAAAGCCTTTTGCTTGTGAATATTCAAATTGCGGTTCCAGATTCACTCGTAAACATGACTTAAAGAGACATATCAATGGCATTCATAAAGGCGAAAAAGTACATGAATGTAGTGTCTGTAGAAAACCCTTTTCTCGAAAAGATGCTTGGAAAAGACATGTTACAACTTGTGGAAAAATCTAAAAAATTTTTATTTTATTTTAATTTATTATTTTGGATTACTTTGAAAATCAAAAAGAAAAGAGAAGTGTTTTTTTTAATGTTTTAGTAGTTTAGTGAAAAATTTTTTATTTATATTAAAATTTCAATAGATTTTTCTTTCTCGTTCCAAATTTATTCTTTTTTATTGTTAATAATATAAAAAAAAAAAAAACTTATAAATATATTTGATGAATGATGGACTATATTGATAATATTATTTCATTATTTTTACTACCTCTTCTTGTCTGTCATCTTATTATTTTTGTTATAAAAAAAAAACTATGATAATTCTAAATTCTAAGACATGAAATTAAATTTTTTTTATCAATCAAAATAAAAATAATTAAAAAAAAAATAAAGTTATTTCTATAAAAACTCTTATGTTTGTTGATGCTTGTTTTTCTTGTGATAATAATAATAAATATAATAATACATGTAATATAACTTGTTTTTTGTCAAAGTTTAGCTAGCATATGCACAAACCTTACTAATTTAAATTATCACTTTTTACTTATTATCAGCAGCCATAAAAGCCCTCCCTCATGTTGCATATTGATTTTGTCGATCTTTCATTATTATTGTTTATTCATTATCAACAAATCAACAAATCATCAACAAATCATAATTTACATTGAAAAAATAAGAGTTTCTTTTTTTTTTAATGCAAATATGTACCAGCCAAAACCTTTTTCACTGACTACTCTTGAATCAAATTTAAAAAAGAGAATTCGCGTGTCAAAAGAGGTTGCCACTTCACAAGTATTGTCACGTGTTGAAAAAGATCTATGGAATAATCTTCATACTCATCAAAAGGAAGGTCTCGTTGAAATGGTGGTCAGAGAAGGTCGTGTTTTGTTGAGTGACGAACAAGGTCTTGGGAAAACTTTACAAGCTCTTGCTTTATGCTCTTACTATAGGGCAAACTGGCCAGTTCTTATTATTTGTCCTAAATCTGTGCTACACGTCTGGAAAAATGAAATCATCAAATGGTTAAAACTACCAGAGTCACAAATAGAGACCATCGATAGTAATAAGATTGTGAAAAAAGATCGTATCATGTTTGTCATCTGTGGTTACGAAAGGTTTGTCAAAGAATCTGAAAATGTGACAAAAAATTATCGATTCGATATAGTGATCGCAGATGAAGCTCACAACATCAAAAATAAAAAAACTCAAAAATCATCTGCTCTAATTCCTATTATTAAACGTGTGAAACGTGCAATCTTGATCACTGGGACTCCAATTCCGAATAGACCAATCGAAATATATTCACTGTTAAATTCACTTGATCCAAAAAACTTTTCAAATGAATTGTCATTTGCAGTTAGGTATTGTGGTGCATACAAAGATCATCGTTTAAATAGATGGAACAAGCTTGGTGCCACTAATCTGGAAGAACTTAATACTGTCTTAAAAAAAACGGTTTTGATCAGGCGACTAAAAGCTGATGCTGGTTATGATCTGCCAGAAAAAGAACGTGAGATGGTGTGGTGTGATGAGATCGAGCCAAAACTGAAAGACAAAATAAAAAAATTGTTAGAAAAGACTGACCAATCGTATAGCAAAATTGCTAATTCGTTAAATTCAGAAAAATCTGACCAATTTGCAAAAAAATATCAAGAGGGCTTGTCCAGAATATATTCTCTAACTGGCGAAGCAAAATGTCCATTCGTGATTAATTACATCAAAGATTTATATGAGAACACAAATAAAAAATTCATTGTCTTTGCTCATCACAAATCTGTTCTTGATAGAATGGAAAGTTACATGGAAACCAATGGTCCACAATCTTATATGCGCATTGATGGTGAAACAAAATCAAAGGACAGAGAAAAAAATTGCCACAATTTTCAAACAAACGATGAGACAAGAGTTGCTCTATTATCAATTATGGCTGCAAATAATGGTATTACTTTGACTGCTGCTGACATTGTGTTATTCTCTGAATTGACATGGGACCCTAGTGCTTTGTTTCAAGGAGAAGATCGTGCTCACAGAATTGGCCGTACTGATACGGTGGTTGTAAAATACATTATTGCAAGGGGCACTATTGACGATTTAATGTGGTCCGTTATTACAAAAAAAATTTATACTACAGAAAGTATTCTTGATAAAGATAATAATCAACTTTACATAGATGAATTTATATCTGCTGATGACGACGATAAACCAATTTTAACAAATCAACATCGTAATGAAAATAACACTTATGTATTTGAGACACCAGCTTCAAAATCACAACCTGTTGAAATAAACGATGATGACGATGATGATCATGATAGTCAATGCCAAGAAATACCCTCTTCCATACCTATTACTGCCACTATCGATCAAAAAGTTGATAACGATAAAAATTCAACGATAATTCGAAACTCACCACCACAAAACCATCATCATGACAAATCACAACAATCATTATCTAAACCTGTTACCTCCAATAGTCAGCAAGCCACTACATACTCACCTATTTTAGTGGGTCATAAAGTAGACCATATTAAAGAACATATAGCACCCCCTCAATCATCACCAACAATATCGAAATACTTTCGCAATGAATTCCAGAAAGCAACGCCCATGGTACCAAAAATGCTTAATACAAAGAATCGTAATACCATTGCTATTAAGAGTCAAAAACAAAAGACCTTCCAAACAAGACTGGATAAGATATACACACTACCACATCCTCCAACTGTTAGTGCTAATAGTAGTAACAAAGTGAACAAGGAAGGGTCAATTAATGATAATGGAAAAAGAAAAGAAAATTTTGTTGATGATGATGATGACATGGATGATTTTGTTATTCCAAAAAAAAATCTCAAAAAAAAGATAATTAAAATTTAAATATATAGAAATTTCGCAGTAGATAAAATGTAACCAAACATTAGTATTAGTATTAGCAATAAATATAATAAAAAAAATTATAGAATTTTTGATTATTCTCATTTTTTTATCCAAGTATATAAAAAATGCATGCATGCATTTACAAAATAATAAATAATATTAATATTAATAGTTGATGTATAATCCCTACATTTGTTATTTTCACCTGATAAACTTTCAGTATTTTGTTTTTGAATGGAAATTAAGATTTGATATTCTGATAACTTTCGTACTATTGACGATTGCGTATTTTGTGAGTGAAATTGTTCACCTGTAAGTTGAGACATATTACGAGACAAGTTGATAAAATATAAAATTTTAATATAAAGAATTTGATTTTTTAATATTCTCCAAAGCCAATAAAAAAATTGGAATCCATTCTACAATAAATATCCTTTGGAATACACGCAATAAATAATAAATGGATATAGTAAATCTAATTCTCATTTCATTAATTTTGGATATACGGAAGGTTTTACAAATCCAATAATGATGATGATAATAATAATTGGAATAGTATAAAGTTAACGCACGATATAGAGACGTCCATCTATTGTATTTATTTATTATACACATATTATCGGATCATTATAAGTTTTATTGTATCTATAACCTACGCGACTTGCATATCTGATATTATTATACTAATGCGAGTGGTGGTGGTGGAATAAAGCAGTAGCGAAAACAGCAAATAATCGTATAAAAAAAAAATATTTTTGAATGATAATGAAGTTGTTCATAAGAATTGGCATTTTTTTTCTTTATTAAGTGTTGATGATATGATGCAATCATTCATTACAAGGTGTAGTTAATTAGTAGTGGCTGACAAGAGTGAAAATGACGTGCCAATTAATATGATCCGTATATTAGTCTCGTGATCATTGTATCCAAGTATCGTTATAACGAATTTCATATGTGGTTTTAGGTAATAGTAATAATAATGATGCAATATTAATAATTTCATAATGCATGCGAGATTCATATACTTTTGAATGTTCTCAATAGTAACTCTTGAGATATGAGGAGATCTTGGATTAAAAAAACTCGATATAACACAAATTTGCTTTTTTTCTATTGCCTAGGCCATATTCGAAATACTTATTGGGGCTTGTTTTTTTTTTTTGAAAAATTTTTTTTAAATGCCTTCAGATAATAGTGACAACACACAATGCTATATTATATATTGAAAATGAAAAAGAAAGACTCGAATCCTTCATTAGAATCGTGTTCAAGCAGTGAAACATCTAAAACGCACGGAAGGTCTAAAGATAGTTGGAAATACTTTAATGATGATGAAGATAAACATACCGGATTTGTCAAGTAAAAGCACTAATTTCTCTGGACCGTCCAGAGGGTATATGTAATAAAAAGATATGCAAAAAAAAAAAATAGCAAGCAACTACTATTACCAATTCAATTAATCATTTAGTTAATAAAAATAATTAACAACCAATTATTAATATAAATATAACAAAATATGAGTATTGTAACATTCTTCTTAATCGTCACAAGTTCTTGAAAAAAATCACGAGTATTTGAAAAATTACGAATACTTGAAAAAATTATAATGAATATTCATTCGAATATAATTTGAACATTGTATCCGAATATTCGAATATGGAATGAACGGGAACACTACTTTTGCTTTGTCACACAAGTGTTAATGGGAAATTTTTAGTGGCAAAGTCTATACTGGAGTTCCCTTTTCGATTGCATTCAATTTCAGATTGTAAAATAATAATATTAAATTCAGGTGTCATCATATTTAACAAAATTATCCTTTTCACGCCATGAAAACCCTCTATTGTTACCCACATGGTTGGGATGATGATCTCTGAAGCGAAATAAATCAAAATCTACCAATAATCTATTATTTAATTCGAGAATTAGAAGATTTCTTAATATCTTTGAGTCAAGAAGCTAGAATAATGTGGACAAGTTCAATGACTTTATACTTTTTTTAATAAAAAAATATCAATCCCAAATAATTAGTTTTATAGGTGTGTAGTTGGATTTGCCAAGTTAGGACGATATAAAACCTACGGGAAAAAAATGGCATCCAAGAAAAGAGATTGAAAAAAAATTTGTTAAAAAGGTAATCGTAAATCTGCCGAACCAATTTAAATGAAAATACTGGTTTAACTAAGACCATAATATCCTGTATCTGATCGTTTAATTAATCAACAGCAAAGAATAAGCCGCTTAAATTGGTGGGTGTATAGGAAAAAAGGAAGGGATGATGGTTTGGAGAATACCTGGTACAAAGTCTTGAAAATATTAATCTTACTGTAAAACATAACGGTGGTGGTAAATGGTGCGTGGCGATGTTTTTCAGGTAAAGGACTGGGACCATTAATAAAAATAATGGCAAAGATGAAAAGACTACATTCAACCCTTGGTATCGAAGCTTTCCTGGGAGATAAAATAACAAAACCGACATTAAAAAAAAATATAATATGGTGTATTTGGTAAAACAACTGATACATGTATTCTAATAACTGAATTAAATATTAGAATTGCCTATTGCTATCACCGCCATTGCTTATCTATTGATTACCAACAAATCTTTTGATCCATTAATGAATATTAATGAATAAATGAAATAAACAATAATAACACTAAAACAAATGACATTCATTTGGTGACTTTTTTATTCCAACAACAAATTGGTTATAGCAACCAATTCATCACGAGACCCATGAAGTATTAATTCAAAAACTAGAAATCAAATATTTCATTGCTGTATTTAATAATCCTTTTCCTGTCCTTAGACCTTTTGAAGCAAATACTTATATATGTGATTTAATTTGTTTAAAGAGATCACCTGAAGTGAATCTTAATATCCTCTCTTTAATATCATCTTCCACTGTGAAATATTTTTTTCTTTGTCTATTCACTGAAATCACAAAATTCTCGAGTTTTTTGTTAATAAATTCACCACATGATTAGCATTCATCACAAGCATCAAAATTTCATTTGCTTTATGATTACAATTACATCCGTAAATAAATATATATCTTTTGAAAGAAAAATATAATCAATGAACATCACTAAATTTAAATTAAGCATACGTTATAAGAACTTTAGAAAAATATTTTTCTTAAAGAAAATAATTACAATTATTTGATAAAGTACTTTTTCCACTTTTAATTTTTATAAAAGTTTGCCAAGATGTTTTCATTGGTAGAACATCATTGTTAGAATTGAATAAGACGTTAAAAAAATATTTTCCAAGGATGAAAAATTATTATTAGACATTTGATATATTGCGAGTTCCAACTTATCGGATGTTGTAAAAAGTTCTAATTTTTTTATACGTGGGAAAACAAATACTATAAAATTAACCAACTACTATTTCCCCATTCTATGTAATTTTTTTAGTCAAGCAAGATCAATGAATCATTCATTCACTCATTCGTACATTTTTATCTTAAACGCAAAAAAAAAATTATTTTTTATAATCACGAATCACATTATTTCATTCTTTTAAAAATTGTTACATTTACGAAATAAACGCATACTAGTTTGAGCATCTTGAACCTATTAATGGAAATTAGAGGATAGAAGATGATGTAGAGGGAACATCAGTCTCAAAATAATTGATAAATAAAAGATAAAATCTTATATATTATCCATTATACATACTGAACTATGTTCCCCTTCTTGAATAATTATGTTTAATTCTGCTTTTGCCAAAGTTTTTAAAGAAGGTTTCTTACCATTGTAACGTTCAAGAAAAGGTCTATGGAGTGAAGAGTCGCGTATCATATTTTGAGGATGACATAGTGATAATAACTGTGCATACATATATGTGGAGTAAGGATATGGGAAAAGAAATGCAAGCGCATGTTTATGGAAGAAATGTTGGTTAAAATTTATTTCACACAAATATCTTGCTTACCTTTAGATCGTGATTGAGAGAATGCCCAACAATAATTCTACCTTTGATTATATCTGAAACTTCTTTTTGTACATCTTTGAAATTATTAGTTTTACAATAACACAAATTAATAATTAATATTATATCATTAACATGAAACAATATATAAAAATAATATCATATTCCTTACCATCTACGAGTAATTCCCTAGTTATTCCACTGATTTCTGTTCGATAGTCTGTTATACAATCACCAGGGTTTACATATTTGTCCAATATTACTTTACCGTGAAAATTAACGATTGAAACCCTGGCAAGTGCCGACTCTTTCCCAGTAGGTCCGATGCCTACCGCTTCACAATCAATAGCAATATATTTTCCAATTCTAATATTATGATCGATCACCTAATAATCGGTTTATTGTGAATTAAATTTTTAAATTTTAAGATTTTATTTACTTTGTTATATTATTTTGATTTCGATTGTTTTTCGATTGATGTGACAAGTTCACTAGTACCAGCCAGTAATATTATTATATTTTTTTTAATGTAAATAATGAATTAGCGAAATAATTTTGTAAAATAAATACTTAATACTAATATAAGATTGTTTTTTAACCCCTTTGAACGAACCATGATTAACTTTGGTGCCTTCGGGTTTTGATTTTTCGGTTTCTTGTGTCATGTAAAAAAATGATAAATAGAATGAAGTTTATAAATATTTTTATAACAAACATTTTATTTACATTTATATCATGTCATTTAACTTTGATGTGTGCAACATCAATATGTACACAGTGAATCTCGATTTAGCGGATAGTAATTAAAAATCTCGGTTTTACGGATAAAGTTCAAAGAACGGTTCCATAATAAACCTTAATAAAAACCTTCTCGATATAGCGGATATCTCGGTTTAACGGATTTTGGAAATTTTTCCCAATTGCCCAAACTATCCACTAAATCGAGATTCACTGTGTATTCCCGGAATTGCAGATCCTTTCGTTGTGAAAATTTCATGTACCCTCCAAAAAATCTTTATTTTTATTGTTAGAAAAGAGAATCAAAGAAGCATATCTACGTATGCTGTTTTTATTATCATGTTGTAAAAGGAATCATTGCAATATGTATGAACACTTGAAGAACACATGTATTGTATTCGATTAGCTTGTATTATTCTTTGGACCCTTGCATTTCTTGGCAAGTGGGAAAATGTTTGCCATATACAGCAGTAGGACAATCCATTAATTAAATTTACACAATGATTATTATTAGCGGAAATCCAATAACAGTTATCATATATAGTCACTATTTATGACCAATCAGTGTTATATTTATTGCAGGCTGGACATTCCCCATACTTTTCATCCCTTTTCTTTGAATATTGATTTTCATAATCTTGAAGACTTCCATCATACATGTATTCCATTACAAAAGATATCTTCTTTTGTAGCCAGATCTTATGTTAATCCATAAATTTATTTATAAATGTATTATTACTAAATGTAACATAATTTCTAAACTATATAAAAAAAAAAATATTAATTCAGAATAAATATTTAAAAAATCTGAAAATAAATAGAAAAATAAAATAAAATACCTCATAAAGAAAGAAATTCACCAGAAATAGTCTGTGAATTATATAGTTTTTTTAATGCCACAATTCTATCTTTACTGGTTCTTTCATGACTATTGTTTATATATATTCTCACCATTTAACCAAGTAGCTTTGCAAACCCACCTTCACTCATTTTTTCAATATCTGTTAACTCATTATAAGGAATCCATTGAAGATAATGTTTATTATTATAATAAATTGCTTTAAGTTGTATACTTTTGATCAATTCATCTAACGTTTCATTGCCACTAGACCATCCTTCAGTCAATAGCTTTGGATCAGATGATTTACACCATGTCAAATAAGTATTATATCTATTGCAGGTTGGACATTTCCCATATCTTACTTCTCTTCTATATGAATATTCATCATATTCATCATATTCATCCTTTTTGTCAGTAGAAGTATCATCATGATGCTTATTTTTATTTAAAGTGTTTTCCATCTTTAAAAATTATTGGTAGTTTTTTATTATATTGTCAAAAAAAAATTTTTTCTAAAGAAATTTAGCCACAAACATGTATCACAATACAGCAGTGTTGGAAATTCAGGGTGCGCAGGGTGCGCGCGCAGCATGTTACACCAAAATTGTGAAACATTTTATGTGCAAATTATAATACGTAGTACCAAATAAAACCATTTAATATAAAAATAAATTTTGTGAAATATTACTAACAAAGAGTTGAGATTTTTTTTGTTTACTTGCTTACTGTATAAAATATTTAAAAAAAATTTTCTTAAAAAAATAAAAATTCTAAATTTTTTTTAACAATGTCTAATAAACAAAATACCAAAAGAGTTTTGTCCATTGACGAAGATTTGAATCCAAAAAAAAATAAAACATTAGAAAAATCAACTTCATCAATTGATTTTTCTGGTAAAGTTCATAATTCTCCAACTCCCCTAATAGAAGTTTTTCAAATATCTGATGATGAATCAACTGGTAGTGATAATGCTATAAGTTCTGAAGATGAACAAAGATCACACAATAGAGAAACCATTGTTCCTGAATGGCTTGAATTATATCCATGGTTAGAAGTTGAAGTTTCAAATGAAAAAACAATCATATATTGCAAAATCTGTAGAACTCAAAATGGGAATACTAACTTTGCAAAA